ATCTACGGAAAGGTTCTAGAAAGGAGATGCTGCGGAATAACTGGCTGTGAGGTACAAGAAGAACAATATGGCTTTAGGTCGGACCGATGCACCTCTGACCAGACATTCACCTTACGCCAGATTGTTAAGAAATCGTGAGGTTCTCTAATCCGGTTTGGATGTGCTTTGTAGAACTGGAGAAAGACTGTAACAGTATCAAGCGCAATATGCTATTAACGGACCTGAAAACATATGGGATCGATGGCCAGTTGCTACGGACCATCTAATCATTATATGCTAATAGCAGTTGCTGCGTCAACAGACTTAAATTGCATTATATCAGTACCTTTTTACGGTTGACGCTGGTTTCCGCCGAGGCAGTGTTTTGTTCCTTCTCAAGTTTCTGCTATAGGTGAATAGAGTAGTCAAGTGTAGCGATGGACGATGAGAGTGTCAGCGTAAGAGATGTGGAGACGGGATTGTTGCTGTTTGCAGACGACTTTGATTTGTTGGCATCTTCTCAAAGTGATCTCCAGCGCTTTCTAGAAACGTTCGACGCTGAATACCACGTTGTTGGAATATATGTGGACGTGTCTGAAGTGAAAAGCCTAGTGCCCTTTTATTCTTCTGCCCATTGCTCTCTTCAAATAAATGGAGAAACATTTGACCAAGTGGAGAAGTTCAAGTCTCTCGGGGCCGTGTTTACTGATGAAAGAAAATAAGAGGAAGAGATCGACCAGCGAATTACAGTAGCCAGTAGCGCTCTGCGTGAATTACTTCTCCTCACTGTGGCTAAAGCAGAGCTGAGTCTGAAGACTAAGCTCTCTATGTTCAGATCGATCTTCATCTCCAAGCTTACCTATGGTCATGAGTCGTAGGCCATGGCTTCGATCCTGGGAACAGGCAGCTGAAACAGTCCTTCTGAGACAAGTCGCTGGTCTCACGCATTTCGAGCACAGTCTGAAGTATGGATATCCGAGAGAGCATCGGTGTACAGCCGCTGCTTCTGGCGATGGTTTGGGTACGTATTAGGAATGCTTTCAGAAAGGAAGACGAAACAGCTATACTACTTGCTCAACGGCCTGGCTGAAGACTGCATGGAAGGTCAAGAATACCTGAGGCAAGCGAACATCTCTGCTCCAAATGCCGGTCATCTTCTGTAGAAATTCATACAGTGGCACAAAGTCGGCAGCGTTGGAGACATGGTCTAACTTTCTGCCTCTGCGACCTGATGGTCATCCAAGCTGACTGAATGATCCGCTTCACTCGTTCCGATTTTAAGTGACGGACTAGCAACTGACTGGTTGACTAAATCATTAAATGAACGAATAAGTGAAAAGCAGGTGGTGGGTTGGTGACCTTCTGTATGATTGACTGACTAGCTAAATGGACGAAAGCAAGCGTAAGTGAATGAATGATTAAGTTCAAAATGACATCAACGGAATTTTAATAATAATAGAAAATAACGAAACAGTGAACTTGTGATTCAGTGAAGACGCAGCTTTCTTATTGAAATGGAATGTGGAAGCAGTGCAGGAGCCTGCTGCGGCACCTTGAAACGATGGTCACCCCCTCCCCCATTTACAAATGACATCTGCCCATGAAAAAATGGCATAAAGTGGGTGTAGATTAGGGAGACATCGGTAATAGTTCACCAAGGTTGGCACCCGGGGTGGACTGCTGAACAACTA